GCAGTTCATAAAAGGAAGTAGAACATAACCGGACAGACAAAAACTAAAGGGAATCATTGATTATTCAACCCATATTAATATTTGACAGAATTTGATTATTTGGTGGATTAGAATTACAAGTTAATATTTTAATTTCATTAAATTTATTATGAAGATTTTGAATAATTCGTTGCTTTTCAGTATTATCCTCTAAAAAATCTAAATTTTTATAGTGAGGATCTAACAAGACTATCATTAATCTAATATCATATTAATAATATATTAGCACATTCTAGAGATTTTGTTTTACCTTTTCTAAAATACCTGTTTTATTTAATGGATTGTTATTTGAAATCTTTTTTTTTGTAATTATCATCAAAGATAAGTATCTCTGAAGATTCTGATCCAAATGCAGTATCTTCATTTGAAAATTCATCATTATCTATGAATCTTTCAGTAGCTAAATTAAAATCATTTCCTTAATAGTTGGGATAATCCAGCTTAAAGTAATATATGAATTTCTGGATAATTCACGAGTTAATTCTTCAAATGGCAAGAGTAAATCAACAAGTTGGTTCAGTAATTTCCATTCATCTTCAGAAAGTAAAAATTTCTTTAATCTTTTACTATCTTTCTTAATCATTTGATTAGTTGATGTAAATAAATCAGTTTGAAGTTGAGTTATAGCATCCTTTAAAAAAAAAGGTGATCCTAAGCATAATACAATAAATTCTAGCATGTAGGCACATCCTGATTACAGCACATAATATCTGAATAACCAAGTTTTTTTTGTACCTCCTTTAATCTTTCCACTTGTTTCTGATATTTAAAGAATTGAATTAGCCTTTTTGCACGAATTACTAAAATTTCTGCCAAAGCTAATCCCTTTCCAACTACTAACTGTAAGGTATGTACTGTACAAGAAAGACGCTGAATATTTTTACACTCATTTTTTTGTTTAATAAAGGAAAAGCTGATACCATATTTGATCCATTGTCAGTAATAATAGATGTTACATAATTCTCAAACTTTCAAGTTTCAATATATTTATAAAATTCATTAGCAATAACTTCGCTTATATGTAGAGAAGAAACATATTTTATTTCTAGCATAGTATCTTTAATTTCAAAACTTGGTGTAATCCAAGTTATAGTAACTCCTAGATATCCGTGTTTAGCTCTACTGAACTAGAGATCTGTAGTAAGTATAGATGAGGGATGAAACCCCTTAATAACAGTTGAAACTTAGACGAAACTATATTAAAATTATAATAAGGGATACGATGAAACCCATTCGATACGACAAAAGCCGAAACTGTCGAAACTATATTTTTTTCACATTGTAATGCATAAAGTATTTGCAATAAATCTTTTGGTTTCTACTCAAGTAATTTTCCAAGTTGTAGCGAGAAATTGAATTATTTCATAAATTTATTTTCAAATTTTACAGAAATGTCTGGGACATAGTGATAATAATAAAAACAGACGAAACAAATTAACAAAATAGTTAATATTGAACGTAAATTTCTTATTAATATATAAAAATAAATAACTTGTTTGAGTGGATTGAATAACTGCTGACATCTTGCCTCTGGGTATGAACCAGGATAGTCAAAGCTTACTCCCACGCTTTGGGGAAATTGGGCACATAGTTGATATAGCCAACTACCACCTAGACCCCACAAAGTCGATAACTAACCCTGATCCAACATGGGAACCTTTAGCCGGAACATCTATCATAACATGGGTGGATAGAATCATCAGCATCCCATGGAATGAATGTAAATCATTCATTCACCTTATTAGAAACTTGTTGTCATAACTGTATCCAATATTGCATGTTGTTTAATTTCTCATCCTTTTAAACTGTATAATTCACGTGATAAATAAATAAATTATTGTCTAGCTACAAACAATGGAGGAAGATTTATTCTTTCAATTTTAGATCAAGTAATGACTATATTTTTATTAAATTCAACCATGATTAACGAGAACAAAAAATAACAAAAGTTTTGTCTCGTTAAAAAGATTCTTTTATAATATTAATATTACATTTTTTCACTATTCAAATTTCTAATACCGCTCCTTTATTTCATTATTTTTGCTTTATGATTCATTTCCATTACGTTCGTTATCATCAATTATTTAAAACTATATTTCAAATCATAAAATAATTTTATTTTGATCGATAACGCGTTTCATTTAATTAGTTTTTATTTCGCAAAAAGTTAGGGCGATTTCTCTAGAGCATGCTAAGAACTTAATATACGCAAGGATCTACTGTGGCAATTGCTTAGCAATAGATTAAAAGATACGAACGTCCCCAAATCATACAGTAACTAAGCAAAAAATGAAAAAATGTTGATAAATTATGTTAATGGAATAAATTAGGCTTCAAAGCTATAAAAAAATTTGTTAGCATTTTTCAAGTCAAATGGAGGTAAGGAAATATTTAATACTATTCGTCCAAAAGATTTGAGATATTTATGCCCAAAATAATTTTCTGAAAGTAATTGATAAGACACTTACTTTGGAGGAAGCATAGAATTTGGCGAAAATCTAATGAATAATTTCGTGAGGAATGACAACTCAATTATGAAACAATTTCAAAGCGAATGTTTGGTGGCTGTTATTCATGGATTGTATCGGTCCTATTATCCATCCGTCACTGGTAAAGTCTTGAGTTCTTTTATGTTATCTTATAGCACGAGATCAAGGAGACAAAATATAACAAATGTTGCACAATATTTCTTCATCCAAGCAAAGTAGGACTTCTGCCATGGTCACATCATAAACCTATTAAAGTCAAATGCGAAAATGCAAACAGTCCGACTAGTTGGAAAGGATGGCGGTTATCAAAGAATAGAAGTCGAAATGTTTCGAAATCAAAATTACATGCTCTTTGATGTAACATAATATTTGAAGAATATTTCTTTAATAAAAATCCTGAGAAATAGTTATCGTTATCATTGAAGGATTTATTATTTGTTCTTGCAAGCCTAGCTAATTTTTTAATATTTAGAATTTGCAACAAGATTTATTAAATCTAAAGCAGCGCGATTTGAATCTATGAATGCAGATGATGGGAATATTGGAACGACTGTACTATGATTCATACATCAAGATTCTAATAAAAAGTGAAGTAATCGGGGATCGATCAAGTTGGGAATAGATATTATTTTACAATGTAGGTGAATACTTGCTTCGCAGGATTAGCACGAAGTTCTATAGGAAATTTAGAACTTCATTTATTTGTGATAATTAATAAAGATGGATCTAAAAGAACTCGTGCAAATTTTCAGTCATAATTAGAGGTGAGGCAGGATGTGGAAAGGTAAGAATATAAGTTCACACTTATTTCAATATAATTTTTCTAAATTTCCTTTTCTATTTGTAGACAATTTTAATTATCTATTTAGCTAAGATGGTTAAAGTTCAATTTAAAGTTCTTAGTCTCCATGCTGGATTAGCGAAGAAACCAGTTTGAAGCTATGAAAAGACGAGAACAACACTTGCGATCATATAGGTTTCCTTGCAGATATCAATGTTTTTGATAAAATATCGGGAAAATTTTCCAGTTATTAATGTTGTTTTAATTGATAAGGTAATATTTTGTATATATTTTTTAGTGATTTCATTTTTTTTCCAGTTCCCACACATTTATTATTTTTTATTTTTTTAAAAAAAATTACTTTGGCTGAAACAAGTCTTTTCAATACTTCAATCTTTGCTCGAAACAAATTAACCAGCAAAAGTTCCACAGTGTCAATTGTTGGAATATTAGTAAAATTAGTGTGCATTGTTCAAAAGTAATTAAATTAATTTGAACTGAAAATTTATGAGAATTACCAATGTCACTTCTTTCCGGACCAAAAGTTGATTTAAATGATTTAGTAAATACAGCTGAACTGTTGAAAATATGACGTAATCAAAGAGGCGCTTTAGAAACATTCAAATAACATTAGCTCGTACTTTTGTTGAGCAGACATTATTAAGAATTATATGAGGAATCTTTGGAGATGTTTTCAAAACATATAATAATCGAAATCCATGGTTCTATAATCTAATTCTAATTGAGAATTAATTGATTCAAATTTAGATGAATCTTATTCGCGTCATTTAATGGTTACTGGTGAAGTAATTCGTTGACTTATCAATTAAGAAGAAATCCTTGGTGATTTTATTCCTTGATAACCAAGATGATTATTCTTACAGTGGTTTGAGTAAAAATTATGGTAATAATTTAATTTCTGCACTGAAAAATTTTACTTTTTATTTCCGATTATTAATAGATATGTCAGACAATTGATTTTAACAAATCTGAAAATTATTTATGGTATTTATTTAATTACATAATTAAATCAATTTATTCGGTATAATTTTTATAAATAGTATTATCGTGCTCATCAATATGATGTAGACGATTTGAAAATTAAAAGTAATGAAGTAGTATTATCGAAAATAATAATGGTAACTGCAGATTTATTTTTGATGCAAAATACATTCTCAGTTAATATAGTCAGTGACTCATTTTTAGCAATATAGTAATTAAGATCTTTCGAAAATTCTTTATCGTATATGGCATTTTGCTAAAAATTCCTACAGGCTTTGTTACTAATCTAAGCTTTCTGGGACGTATTTGTTACTCGTATTCGTTGTCTAGTGTATGTTTCACGCTGAAAGATTTTCTTTATACTTCCTTTTTCCGAAGAATGATTGTTTAAGAAATGATTTCATATCACAAATCATTACCGTTGTTAAGGGGTTTCTTATTTTGTATAAGGAAAATGATTCGGGATAAATTCTTTTGATGACAACTCGAAAGCACTTTCTTAGATGAGTGGCGCGTCAGATGATATAATTAAACCGTCGCTCTAAGCTTAATACTAAAAGATACCACCAGAAAATGCTTTTCCTTTAACTTAAAACCTTTTACTAGCCACTTCATTAAACAAAAGCAGTTCATAAAAGGAAGTAGAACATAACCGGACAGACAAAAACTAAAGGGAATCATTGATTATTCAACCCATATTATGGCTCTCTATCACTTGTTAGCCATTGTTAAAGGATAAATAAAAAATAAAAGCTCGACCCATATGATGATTTAATTTACAAACAAAATTTCTATATCTCATTTCGAGAGGAAACTTGTATTAAAACAATTAATAGTGGTTGAAAAGGGAAGAATCCTAATAAACGTTGCACTAATCAAAACTATGTATAGTCCTATAACAAAAATTATTATTGAAGATTTTTTTTATTTTATAGTATAATTTATATTATTTTATAATAAATTTACTATTAACGAAGCTATATTTTCTTTTCTTTAATAACTTTGGATCCTTCTTATCATTTTCATTTCAATTTTTCGAAAATACTCCGAATATCTGTCATTTTCACAAAATAGATCGCTTTTAATTGATTTAATTACTTGACAAAACTCATAAACTTCCTTGTTTGGAACGTAAAGTTGATTTTGTAAAAAATAATAGCGAAATTAATTGATTTAATACTGCGTTCAATTTATTTTATTTTAATTAAAATATAACGCGATAAAAAATAAAAAAAATGTCAAAAACAAATAATAAATTCTAGGAACACGAAAATTATTTTGCTTTATAAACATTTTATTTATCTATTATTGTCATATTTATTGTCCTCCTAAATTATCCGTCCAGACTTCTCACAAAGCCAAAGAAACCCGCCCCAAAATTAATTCCACATTCAACTCGGTCTCGAATTCTTCTACGGTGGCCGGTGGCCTTACTAGATTGTATTGTTAAAATTAATTCAACTGAATTGCGTTTTTATTGGAAAGAAAGCAATATTATTTTATTGACTTACGTTCTTCTCTCGTGAAGGATTTCAACTCTAAGGTCGTAATTATTATTATTTGTGAAAACGCTGGAGTAATACTTGAAGCTCAAATTCTTAATGCATTAACTCCTTTAACTCAACATTAAATATTGGCTGCGTCATCTATAATGCAAGTACAATAATATAAATTCACAAAAGAAACGTGATTTAAATCTGGGTTTAGCTTTTGTAGATCAATTTCGGTCAAATCGTTAAGGTAACATTTGTTCTAACTTAATATTTTATATGGGATTTGAAACTCTTTTTAAAGAGAAGGCAACACACAATCAATTTGCATTATCAAAGTTCGCCTTGCTTTATATACATACATAAACTATAATCTTTTCCTTTCTCCCTTGCGATATTATCGCTTTCGCTAATTTAACTCCATTATTTTCTCTATTGTAGCGTTGTAAATTAATTTTATTGAACAATATTTACATCATAATTATTTAATTGGTTATTAATTAATTACTTTCTACTTACGGTTTTAATTGTTTATAAATACATAAGCAATAGAAATCAAATAATTTATTGGAACTTCAGTTTTTTTATAAGTTTATAAAAAAAAATACTGAAATTATCGTTAATTATGAACATTGATAATTTCCTTTGGTAATTTTTAAATTACTTGACTTGATAACACTACTAACATATTTTTAATTCAATATAATCATGGATATTATTAAATCAAGTTCCCATAAATTCTTCACACTATTCACTATGAATTTAATTGAAGGGTCTCCATAATAAAATTTTAAGATTTGCAGGTTTGAAGGTAACGTATTCCAAATTTGCGAGAACTTTTTCACATTCATTGTAATTTGATTAAGGTTTTTAATGGAGTAAGTACATTACAAATAATGACGTCCATGCAATACTCATAAATACTTTAAATCTTTTGAACAGTAATCCCCTTTAAATCACTTTCAAAAGTTAGGCAGAAAATTCTGTATCGATCGATATTCGGAATGTAGCCAAATTCCGAAAGTTGCTTAAACAATTTATCATTCCAGAGTATGTGGTGTTGGAATGATTAAGCTAGAATAAAAATTCTAGTTTTTTCAAGTAATCTGAACCATGTGCATTTAAATATTTCTAATGTAACTATATGAACCTTCAAATATTTCATTTATACATTTAAGTTACAATGAAAATTCTCATGATTATTCGAATAATCAGAATTAAACGAAGAAAAAAAGCTTGACCATTCAAATTTACGATTATGCAAAGATTATTATATTGTGCTTTGAAATAGGAATAGAGGAAATTTTTTGTGTTAAATCTAAGACTTACTTTGCTTTTAGTGACAATATGAGGTCATTTGCTATTACAAAGTAAATCATGACATGATAATTAACGTGATTTAACATATCTCCTTATAAGACATTATAATTACAAAATCGAGATCTTTTCTACAAGATAATACAATAATTTAAAATGTTTCTAGAGTCGCGGTCATATCGGACCATTTTTTTTATACTTTCGGGTTCTTTCGCATCGGACCGCAACGATCGAATTTTTTTATTTTTTTTTATTTTAACAATTGAAATTACGTATCTCTAGTATTTGTTGTGTTTTTTTTTTTTTTAGTTAAATTGGTAATTTTTTAATTTTTTTTACTTCCGGGTTCGATTACATCAAAGATTTTAATTTCAAAGACTTTATTTCGAGATGGATCACTTCGAAAGAAATGAATAAGATTGTTTAGTTTTTTTTTTTCCTTAATATGGTTATTTTTCTTCTAATTTATTATGAAATACAGTGTGCGACAAAAAAAATTGAACTCAAAAATTTGTTCGCTAGATCATCGATTTTATCATAGAATAATTTATTCGAAAACTCAAAACCGAACTTATTATTAATATAAAAATTAGATATATTAATAAAGAATTCTTTCCCTAATTTTTTCA